GGGAAAAAAAAAAAAAAAAAAAAAGAAAAGGAATAAAACCGGAAAAAAATTACTCCGGTTCCTAAAGACAGAAATGAATTGTAATTTTTTTTTCCCTTTAAGACAGGTTCTGTGTGCTTTTTAATTTTATTTTACGAGAAATGTGCAGTCTGTAAACATTTTATAATAACTTCTGGCGTCAAAGTGTTTGTGAAAGCTAAATGAAGTAGCAGTAACAAAGCATAGTGTTCCTTCCGGATGGACAAACACGGTGGGGAGGGGAGGGACGGGAGGGAAAGGCGGGGGGGCGGGGGAGGTTGGGTCTGGTCATAACTTTTGCTGAAAAAAAAAAAGAAAAAAAGAAAAAAAGAAAAAAAATTCAAATGGAATTATCTCCCCCCTCCCCCCAACTGTACCCCATTGCAAAACCGGATGATGATTACTTTTTTTTTTAAGATTTACAAAGCGCAAACCCAGCGACCAGTTTTGGCGGTGGGGACACCTTCTAGGCTGGGAGGATCCAGAGAAAAGGGACTTAAAATCGCGGATTGAATTTTTTTTTTTTTTCTTAATGACCATTTTCATTGGGTCAATTTTCAAGCACTGACCTTATAATATTCCGAGATCATAGAGCTACTAAAAAAAAAAAAAAAAAAAAAAGTGACAAATGTTTCCTTCATGTCTCCTATACCAGAATGTAAATATTTTTGTGTTTTGTGTTTAATTTGTTAGAATTCTAACACACTATATACTTCCAAGAAGTATGTCATTGTCAATATTTTGTCAATAAAGATTTATCAATATGCCCTAATTTTTTAAGCAATATCTTTTCCCTTTCACCCCCAAATTTCTCGGAAACCGATGGTTTCCCCCCACACCGCCTTGTTTTTAGCTGCTGAACCCCCGCGGCCGCGCCGCGCATTCCTGCGGCCATAGGCGCATTTTCTTAATGTATTCGCTGGCTGCTAAATAGACCTCTAAAAATAAGCCGCAGAGGCGCACTTGCTGTATATAAATACCCCAAACGCCCCGAAACAGAACCAACCAACCAAACAAAAACCTCAAGGAGAAACCCAGCCCCTTCCCTGGTTAGAAGCTGGAGCGCGGACCGGTTCGTGATGGTGAAACTGGCCTGCAGCAGCCGCGCTTTCCTTGGCAAAAATATGTGTTTTATTCAGACAGAAGATTTTTTTTTTTTTGGTCTTTTCCCCCATCTTTTCCATCCCCTGTCCAGGTCGGTGAGGTGAGGAACAGCTCCTGAGAGCAGAGGCTGCGCCCCAGCTGCTGCTCTCCCTGCCGCTCTCAGGGAGCGATCCTGGGCTGTACAGAGTAAAACTCTGACATTAAAGAGGTGGGGGAAAAGGGAAAAAAAAATTAAAAAAAAAAAAAAAAAAAAAGGGGGGGGGAGGAGGGAAAAAAAAAAAAAAAAAAAAAAAAAAAAAAAAAAAAGAAAAGAAAAAAAGAAAAAAAAAAAAAAAAAAAAAAAGAGAAAGGGAAAAAAAAAATTAAAAAAAAAAAAAAAAGAAAGAAAAGAAATGTTGCTCTGGGTCCTTGAGGAAACTAGCTGGTTTTCTGGGGGTACACAGTTGTTTTTTCATGCTTCATTTGCTCCTTAGCCTGATAGACTGCATTAATCAGTTTTATTTCCATTGATAGAGAAACCTCGTCTGCTCTGTTCGAGCTACAAAGAATCCTGCAAGCTTTTGTGAAAGTGCAAATCAGTTTAGGCAATTATCATACCAGGAATATGAAGGGGAAAGAGGAGGCATTGCCCAGTGGTCTCCTTTAATCTCTTAATCCGTGGATCCAGGGGGGCTAGTTGGACATAATTTAGGACAATCTGACTACCCTTTACACTGTGATAAGGCGAAGTTACAATGCATCGCAAAAATACAAGCTTTGTTAAACATACTGCCTTGAAAAGTTAAGATTAGACATTCTGTGCACGTGTTGGCTCTATCGGGTACTATGTAAATTTAATTTTTAAAAAAAAAATATCCTCTCCTATTATTTTTTTTTTTTTTTAGCATCTCTTCTTATACAATCCCGGTGACTTTCCATTCACTTGCGCTACAAATATGAGAGAGGCCCAGTCAGGGTTAGGACGCATGTCGCAATGCAGTCCCTTGCATTTAAACCTAGGCTAATTATTGAGTAGAGCTATTCCCAAGGCAAACTTCTCGTCGCGTTTCTTCCCTCCTCGAGCAGCTGATGGTGCAGATCTGGAAGCCAAGCAGGACGCACATTTCCCCTGAACTGCCCGAGCTGCCTTGCTCTCCACTTCAAACCCGGGCAAATGGGCAAACATTAAACGGATTGCGGCCGAACAGCAGACTTGGCCTTTCTAGAAATTGTTACCCATCTTGATAAAAGGCTTATTTCTGCAGGAACCATATACTTCTCTCCCCACGCCACTTTTTTTTTTTTTAAATTTTTTTTTTTTTTAACCGTGAGGGAAGAGAGAGGGAGAGAGGGGGGAAAAAAATTAAGCGTCCTATGTAGCGTAACAGCAATAAAATCTTCAGAGAATGCCATTAGCTTTGAAAAAAAACCCTAAAAGCTTTATTACAAACCCAGCTTTGAAAATAGGGGGGATTAGGAGTCTGAAAGGGTCCCACAATGGTTAGAAGAAAAGGTTTCATGCTAATGAGGTTAATGCCCTTTGTATCTCAGGACTCCACAACTTCATTACTCCCTATCTCCGGCTGCACCAAGCGGCTCAGAACACTGCAATCCACTCCAGCTCTCCCCTGCCTTGCCTAGAGAAGGATTTGATAGCAGCTCTGTTCAAACTAGATAATTATATCTTTTCAAGTCGGAATTAAGATAAAGAAAGTGAAGCAAAGGCGGCTAGCCTTGATCCACTGCAAACAAATTTGGCGCACTTTCTAGTCTCTCTCCCCCTGCCTCAATAGGCAGGACAGTCAGCTTATTAGACCCTCATTTGCTTTATTAATTCATCTATTTAAAGTGGCAGGATTAGAGAGAGGGAGAGAGAGGCAGAGTCTAATGTGGGACAGTGGATGCCAGGCAACGTGGAAATATAAATATTGGCGAGATGCTATCCGAGCGGGTGTTCAAAAATACATTTTATATGAAATAACTGAGAGGGGTGGGGGAGGGAGCGTGGATTTCGGGTGGCGAATTGCAAACTCGGGCGGATTTCTACGGCTTTTTTGAAGGAAGGCTGGGGCACGGCTGCCGGGTACGGGCTCTCCCTCCGGAGGACGCGCGGCCCTCGGTGCCCGGCGGGGGATTTGGCCCCGCTGGTGCCCCGGGGTGCCCAGGGGGCTGCAGGACAAGCGGGCACCCCCGCACCCCGCGGCCCGCCCGGGGCCGCTCTGGCAGCGCTGCGCGGCGGCCGCGGGTGCGGAGCGGAGCGCGCTGCCCCGCGCAGTCCCGGGAGCGGGGCTGCGGCTCCGGGCGGCCGGCTCTGCGTGCTGTCCCTCCTCCGTGGCTCTGCTCTGTCTGTCGGCCAAGGTCAGCGCATCCCGCCCCCGCCCCTCGCCTCCCCCGGCCCCTCTCGGCCCGGGGTCCCCGCCGCTGCCGCGCCCGCCGGGGGCCGGATCCGCACCCTCCGCAGCGCTGCTGGCTCCGCGTCCGGGACCTGACCCCTCCGGCCTTGGGTTTTTAACCCCTTCCCTTCTGACACAGCCAGCGGCTCCCAGCCCTAGCTGCTTGCCGCCAGTGGGATTTGCGCTCCCCACGCGGCGCAAGCCCGCACCCGCGCAGCCCTGTCTTTGCCACTGGACCGGGGTGAGGCCGGAGGCCTTGGGAGCCCTCGCTTTGTTGTGTTTAAACGCTGTTTATTTGCTTTCCTCCTCTGACGGATGGCGCTGTTACCTGCGAGGGCTCGGCGGAAATTAGCGGTCCCCCCTAATTAGCAGCCAGCCTCGGCACAGCCCGTAGGAAACAGGCAGAGCGGCTCGGGCCGGGTTCCCTGCTGAACGGGATTCTCCCGGCCCCTGCTCCCGTGTCCATCAGCGGTTCAGCGCTGCTCGGAGCTAACAGAGCCATTGATTTACTTCTGCAAAGGGTCCCGCTGCGAGGGGGAAGCGGGAGTTTAGAGAACCTCCTGACCCCGAGCCGTAACCTCTCTCCTCGCCAGCCTCTCTCCTGGTGGGACACTCGCAGCCGGGGAAGCCCAGCCCGTGGCCCACGCTTGAAACCGAAAGGGCCATTAATCACCTTCCCTCGTCCGCTTTTAATTGACCTTTTGCAATTAGCGCCTGTTGCAGGGAAGGCGACCCGTCGGTGGTGAGGGAACCCTCCCGGTGCCCCCTCGGACCCCTCTTTCCCGGGGGGGCCGCGGCTGTCCCCGCCAGGCACGGCGGGGAGGATGCTGCGGGCGCCGCTCCCGCACCGGGCTCAGCCCGCCTGGCAGGTGGCTGCCCTGCCGGAGCAGGGAAGGCAGGATCTGCCTCCTCTCATCCTTCTCCTTCTCCTTGTCCTTGTCCCCGCCGTGGGGCCGCTCGGCCCTGCTGCCTCGGGAGCCCCATGTCCCCGCACGGCCTGGCTGGAGCCCCGGCTGCTGCGGGGGCTCCGGAGAGCATTTATAGACCCGCTCTCCATCGCCCACGGCTGGACCTGACGTCAGGAAGAACTTGATCTCGCCCGCTTTGCTCCTGCTTCTGAAACTGATCCTTGAAATGAGAGAACAGACTCTACACAATTCCCATGGCCTTGACATAAGGTACAGCGATAAATATACACCACTAATGAGCAATTACCATATAATCACCTTCCAATTA